TCGCGAGCCTCAATTGGTACACAATCGCGTTTATTCCTCGGTTTTCCATTTTTTAGCTATTTATCTCGTTTGCCAGGGAACAATGATAAAGGGAAAAAGGCAAAAAGCACGAGGCAGACATCTTCCCTCGTGCCTGATTTATTCATCGGCACTGCGGTCGGTATATTGACGTCACGTCCGATGAGAGGTCGTAGGTTCAATAAATAATCTCCCGGCGCTGAAATACAAAAAGATCGCAGTTTGCGATTGGAATCCGTCGTTCGCGATCGATCGGCTTAAAGAAACTCAAAGAGAAAGTATATCCTAAATGTATATCCCAAATGTGCGCCGTTTTTAGACAGCGCATGCAAAAGTCTGGCGACATATCATGTCTCTCTCTCTGTCTCTCTCTCTCTCTCTCTCTCTCTCTCTCTCTCTCTCTCTCTCTCTCTAGAGCCTCGTAGAAATTTAACCTCTCCAGTGTGTCATCAGCCGTTGCAGATCATCCCGGATAATGTGCAACGTGTTATGATTCCCATTTAATTTGCCCGAGTGCGCAGCTTTTCGATGCAAAATTGCGCTAAATTATCGGCCATACCGGCTAAACGTTATGCGTACACCGCCCGGCCACGCCCGTGTCACCTCGTCATACAAATGCGACGTTTAATTATTATTACATGTCAGTTGCATCGCGCGTAAATTGAAAGGACCGCCATATCTCTCGTCGAGGTTTCCTTTAGCTGTGACCGATTAATCCTAGAATGACGGCGATAATATTCAAATATTACCGTGAGATTAAACGATGCGTCGACGAGCGAAAACGCACATTTTTCTATCGCGTGATAAATTTTATATTATTATTATTATTATTTATATATATTATTATTATTTTGGTAATGTCGACGTAGACAATATTCGAGAGAGCGCGCAACTTTGGGAAGTTCAAGGTTGTTGGGCGATTTTTCTAATTTATTTCTGTATTCCTCAATATTTGATATATTTTAACATTTTATATGCGCACATGTTGCAGCTCGTTGAATTATGTTTACGATTTTCGATACTTACAGCGTTATTGCGCGAAATAATTTTCGTAATTTTACGGGCGATCTTTTATGTATGCATCGCGTAACACGATTGCGGACTTCACAAGAATGCCCGACGTGTAATTATACCGACAAATTAGAAGCGAGCGCGCTCCCTTGAAGGAACGGGAGGACGCGCTCGAAGAAAATGAATCGGAAACGAATAGCAACATTCGTAGAGAAAAGCAATTCGCACGCTCTCGCGCATCGACTTTGATGCGGATTTAATTAATCTACGTCCGAAGCTTAGAGCCGCCGTGCGCGAGCAACGTCAAACGAGCTTAACACAGGAGCTCTCGCAAAGCGTTTCCCATGCGAAAATTCAACGGCGATATCTCCTCGACATTCTCTTTCCATTCCGACTCTCAAGGCTGTGTCCGAAAGAGGAACAACAAAAAGGAAACAAGAAGACGACGAAAAAGGAAAACCGCGCGAGAAAAAAATCGAAAAGAGAAGTGAGTGAGTGAGTGAGTGAGTGAGTGAGTGAGTGAGTGAGTGAGTGAGTGAGTGAGTGAGTGAGTGAGTGAGTGAGAGAGAGAGAGAGAGAGAGAGAGAGAGAGAGAGAGAGAGAGAGAGATGGGCAGAGGGTGAAGAGGGGAGAAAGAGAGGAGGACCAGCGAACTGGAGTGAAATGCCACGCCGGCGAAAAAAAAAATAAAAGAACAAAGAGGACGGCGCACGGCAGAATAGAAAAAAGAGAGAAGGGCCGGGCATCGTCGATTGATTGGCACGCTGACGTGCGTGGCCACGATGGATGACGCTTTATTTTCCACGATACACCCGATTATAGATTGAAAAGCGGCCATAAATCCTCGTGAATACTTTACAGGTACGTTCCGGCAGGTGGAACGAAGGTTGGTGAGAAAATTTCATCGCGGCGTTGCGCCATCATGAAAGCGAAAGAACAGAAGAGCGAGAGAGAGAGAGAGAGAGAGAGAGAGAGAGAGAGAGAGAGAGAGGGAGGGAGGGAGAAAAAGGGAGAAAAGCCCAGAGAACGAGAACGATGGGGAAGAGAAGATGAACGAGAGACGAGAGGCGATATAGCAGAGAGAGAGAGAGAGAGAGAGGCAAGGGGTGACGACGGATGAGGAAGAAGAGAGAAAAGAGGAGAAAGGCTGGCTCGGGCCAGTCACGAGGTGTTGGTGTAGGATGTTACGGTGGATGCCCGAAAATTGAATTTGCCGCGGAACGCGGAGCGTTTGATTAAGTGCTTTCGTCAGGGAACCGGGCGTATCGTGCCCGATAACGTTATCGTTCTCGATTTGCCGGCGATTTTTGATCGTTTCCACGCGGCAATCCACCGTCCGTCCGGCTGGCCGACCGAGCGATCCAGCGTTCGCACGTCATCGCTGCCGCTGCTGCTGCTGCTGCTGCTGCTGCTGTAGCGGTGATTCTCTCGCGTTCGCTTAGGAAAACCGTCTCGTTCAACCGTCTGTGCAATTGCGCTCACGGATGTGAGGTCGCAAAAAAAAAGAAAAAAAAAAGAGAAAAGAAAAAAGAAGAAATGAATGAATAAATATTTCGATCGCGTTCGAAAAGTTTGCACAGGGCAACGCGAATTTCAACGTGTCACCGCGGGTGTCGCGTTGAAGCTCAATCAGCGGAAAACGAGGCGACGTGAAATTTCCTGCGCGGACGAACAAGCAGGAGCGAAGGGCGATATCGAAGGGTGCGCTTGGCATTTGGCGAGCGCGTCTAATTGTACGAGTGAGATTGTACGTTCAATGAGAAGCTGACGCGCAAACACGCGCCTTTCCAACGGCGCCGGGGATCGCTTAAACAATGTTTTCCCGCTGTCGGGGCCACGAGTCGCGGATCCTAGGATCACTCGTAAAAAAGAAAGAAAAAAAAAAAAACAGAAAATAACGTCGAAACTACGTAGCCGCAAAATCCGCGTTGAATATTTCACGGATCAGTAGATATATATATATATATATATATATATATATATATCTCTTTTTTTCTCTCCTAGTGAATCGGCGATTCGAGCGATGTACCGAGGGTGAAAAAGGCGGACGCGTCCGAGTGGTTGGGTTTGGGTGCCTCTCGTATACAGGCGCGCGAGCGAGTATCGCGCACACAGGCGTATCGTCGATAAACGTGAGTCGCGGTGTCGAGTACTAGCCGGTAAATTCGTCGGAGACTCTTCAGCCGGCTATATCGAGTATTAATATTCGCGCTAAATTTATCGACTCTCGCGCGATTGCGGGAATCAACAGAAGAATATAATCGAGCACGATGGACGATTCTCTGTGCGTTGTTTTTTTGGTTGTTGTTGTTGTTGTTGTTGTTTTTGCCCTCATATAATCCCGAACGAAATAAACGAGTGGCGGTGCAAATAATAGCTAGTCGTAACGTCAACAAGTAAACACTCGCGCTTTTCAGCGTTTCACTTTCGAAATTCTAAAGTTCGCCCCGCAATAAAGAGCTCCGCGAAGAAAGGCGGAGCGCGTATCTGCGGATTGATAATATGCAGACCTTCGGCTCGCGGCGCCGATAAACAGGTGCGAGTTTCTAAAACGAGGAGAAAGAAAGAGCGAAAGATTATCCATTCGAACGGATGGTTGCAGAGCTGCCGAGGTGGACGTGGAATTCAACGAAGGGGCTTAACTTTAATCGAAACGTGTACACGTTCGCCGTCCAATAATCCGCTCGTTTTCTTGCCCCGTTTTACTTATTTACGCGCTAACCATCGTAACGACGACTCTTTCATGAAAGTCGTTAACTGAACCATCTCGAGCGTTTAAGCGGGTATTAGCGCACCAGCACCGAAAGCGCTTCTCAAATTGCGGGAATTGATAAAACCCCGATGTATACTCGCGCGATTACGGTCGCGGGAAATTAGCTCGGATCGGCAAACAAAAGCCGAAGCGGTACCTGAGGCCGCATAATTTACGAAAAAGACGAAAAAAGAGAGAGAGAGAGGAGAGAGAGAGAGAGAGAGAGGGAATCAAGTGAGCGAGCGCGAAGAGAGACGAGCAAGGCGAGGGGCCGAGAGCGAGAGCAAGGGGGTATTCGGTGAAGAGAAACGATCGAGCGCGCGGGAAAGAAAGGAGGAACAAGAGGAAAGCGAGTACCATAACCTCGTTGATAAAACGCCGGATACGTTCGACGTATGCGCGTAACTTCCAAAATAATGAAAAAAGCAAGAGAAATATCCTGGCCGGTTTATCCGACTCCGCTTCGATTTCGCGAGAACGAGTATTCCGCGAAAAAATATCACCACGCTTAATCCGCGAACGATCATAGCTACACGCCAGTCCGATACACCGGCGCATACTGCATATCCTATGCGGCCACGCCGAATTTGTACGAAACGGACAACGGTAAAAAAGAAAATCGGTGGCGGCGGTCGCGTTTAAACGAGCGAGCGCGCGCGTTATACGCGTGTGTAATTTAGACGATATACGTATAATATGACTCCGATCGGCGAATGCTTAACGCTGCTCACGTAAAACTTTGATGATGGTCGCGTGTGCGACTCGCGCGAATATTCCGCGTTTGGACCGCTCGAGCTCTGGAGAGACGAGAATAAACCGACAAGCGACGATTTCGTGCAAATTGAGCGAGAGAGAGAGAGAGAGAGAGAGAGAGAGAGAGAGAGAGAAAGAGGACACGACATGTTTATAAAATCTACCGCAATTGGACTTCCTCGTTCACGCTTCTTTATCTTATGCGCAATTATCCTTGCGCGAAATCGTTCTTTTTTTTTCCATAACTCGAACGAGATAAGAGAAGGAAAATGGTGGTAAAAAGGAGGAGAGCATGTCCCTTTTCTTTCTCTCTTTGTAGCATTTATATGTATGATAAGGTAGATAATAGTGCTCGAAGCGTTATTTCGAGGTGGATAACGCGAGCGATAATAATAACGGAATCGCTTCTTTCTATTCTTCGAAATACCACCAGCCGTACGAACTTTCTCGCTCTTTTCTGTTGCAGTTCCGCCGGAGCAGCCAACCATCCTGGATCGATGGGGCCGGATCTTGAACGGCACAGCTGGCCCTTACGAGGAAGGCGATACACCATATCTCACGTGTCGCGTCACGGGCGGTAAGCTCGCGCAAAATACAGCGATATAATATGTATACACGGCAACGTTTATTCGTCCGCCGTATCTACACGTGTTCGTACGAGACGCGCGATTTACCGGCTCCAACAAGCCGCTCCTCTGCCAGGATGAGACACGAAATCCCGGGCCGATTTAGGATCGATCGTTGCCGGAAAACGCGACAGAATCACCGATACTGCTCGTCTCATTTTCTTTTTCTCCCACACGATAAAGAAGTTCAAACGAGAGAGGCTCCGCGGCCGAACAACTTCTGAAAACGCGGACAGATGATTGAGACGCGTCGTTCGGATAGAGAGAAAGGAGAGAAAAAGCAGAGTACATGAGCGCATTCCGCGTTCTGCGCATCGACGGCGACGTCGACTGGAGGAAAATCCCGCATCCGTATCCCGTCACTCGCTCGCTCGCTACGTGCGCGATCCGAAAACTCAAGGGCGAGATCTGCTTTCGTCGTGGAAGCCCTTCTTCTCCTTCCGTGATCACACGCGGCGCGCATTTTGGAGAATCATCGTCGTCGCCGCCTTTCTCTCCCTCTCTCTCTCTCTCTGTCTCCCCCTCGCGCGGTAACCACAACCTCACCGCGAAATCGTTGGGAAACTTCGATCGTGGAGCGACAGAGTCGGCGATGGCTGGCTGGTTGGCTGGTGTCGCCGGTTATTAGATCAGCCAACTTTTTATCGGCGACCGTGGCTAAGTGAAAAGTTCCACGTTCGGTGAGACGCGACGACGACGACAGTCGCTCTCTTATCCCGCGTCAAGTGCAGAGAGGGAGAGAAAGAGAAAGAGAGAAAGAGAAAAAGGCAGACAAACAGAAAGAGAGAAAGAGGGCCGGAGGGTTACTAGGCTGTGTCGCTTGGATCAAGCACCGAGGGGTGGAATCGCAGTGAAAGCATCCGAGTAGCGCGCTCCCCGTTCTGTTTACTTTAGCAACTGGATCTAAATTTCTGTTTATAACTGCGGCAACTTCTTCGGCCGTCTTAAAAGATTATTTCCAGTCCTTCTCCCCGTTTTCGAGCTTCAAACCTCGTGTCCTCCGCTTCTTCGCTCTTTCTCCCCCCCCCTCTCTCTCTCTCTCTCTCTCTCTCTCTCCACTCTGCTCTCGCGACGACGTCCCCCGTTACCTTTCTTCGTCTACGAGGTATCCTCTCCTGCGAGAGCTCTCGCCGTGATTAAGCGTCGCTTCCGCTTTCCTTCCGCCGACGGCGCCGTCTTCGTCGTTTTCGCGTGCCGGAATATCCCGGAGGATGAAACGTCGTTAAAGATCTTAAGTCGTCGGCGGCGAAAATTCGGCGAACTCGTGGCAGTCGCGACTGCCGTTTGAATATTCATCGGCGCTCGCCTCCGCGCTCGCCTCTTACGCTCATCGCCACTTAATTGTTTTCTCTCAAACGCGACTTACCCGGACGAATGCGCGAAGAAGCGCCGCCGTCGCCGCCACCGGCGACTCTCAACAGCCCGCCGGATGAATCTTCCGATTAATTATGAGCGTTCACACGCACCCTCACGCGCGCTTGTCGCGCGTGTACGCCGAGCGTCGAGCACGAGCGGCAAAATTTATTCGTTCCCGCGGAATGCACAAATATGTTGAATCGATGTAATCTGTCAACGGCGGATTCCTATCGAAACGACGCCCGTCCATCCATCCACGCACAGTGTTATACATCACGGTATCGTCCGCCCTCCTCGTGCCGCGCCGAAAAGGCAAAACGAGAGCACGCTGGGAACGAAAAACGCAAAAAAAAAGAAAAAAAAGAAAAAAAAGAAAAAAAGAAACGAGCCAGGAAAAAAGGAAAAGGCAGGAAACGGGAAAAAGAGGAGGCTTTGTTGCCGCGCGCGCTCGCACGCGCGCAGAGGAGATGAATTCCGTTGTTAGGATCGGCGGCGGCCGCGGCCGCGACCTCTCCTCGTCCTCGAGCGATCATATTAGTCACCGTTGCCGAATACAGCAACGCGGCGGATAACGGCCGACCGATTCGGCGCCCTTGTTCATCGCGAGTCTCGCCGATGGATATGTCGAAATATACGGAGCCGGGAATATTGCCGTATGCAGATTCGATGGGAATTCCATCCGCGGCGCGCATCGATCGAACGCACCGCGGCGTATAAATTGAATATCGAGGAGATCGGCTTATCCTTAACAATACGAGACGCGGCGGCGGTGCCGCGCGCGCGCGCGCTCCGCCAAAGATTATCCTCCACCTGCTTCGCTCGCCGTGACGAATCCGCCGTTTTAATTTAATTATAAATAACGCTTACGGAGGGGAGATGGCGGTGGCGAGCGAACAGCGCAACGAACGAACGAACGGGCGGACGAACGAATAACCGAGAAATTAATACGCGCGCTCTCGCTGACACGGCTCGTCCGCGCGACTCTTCCACGTCCACGGCGCGTAATTAATCGTCCTTTATTAATTGGAGCGGTTTTATATCTCTCCCCTGCTCATTCTCGACCGTTTGACTGCGCGACGGCTTTTAATCCGCCTCGCGCGTCGCCGGGCAGCACGAAAAGCGAGCATCGAGCTGCGCGCGCTGGACTCGTCGATGCTCGACGCGAGATCTTTCGCCGCTCGGCGGGAAACAAAGCGCGAGTCCCGAAGGGTGGTTTGCAGGCAGGCGCGCACTTTTTTTCCTCCCGCGTCGCGTCGCGTCGCGTCGCGTCGCTTTGTTTAAAACGAAAAACTCGCCAGGCTTGAAACGATCGAGCAACGTTGCGTTGCCGGGTTTGCAGAGAGATGGAGCACGCCGACACGAGTGACGGGCGCGCGCGCGCGCGGGGGCTTCCGCTCCGTGCGAAACGCGGAGGACCTTTCTCGCGCGTTTGACTCGCCGCGGTGATCGAAACACCGTGGACAGCTAACTTTGGACACGCGCGGTAGCTCGCCAGGGTGCGGGAATATGTGTGTGTCGGTAGACAGGTAGGTAGGTATTACGCGCGACGCGTCGCGCGACGCAACGGAGAAGCGCGCGGCCCTGCTCTTTTCCCCCGCTAATTGACGAGCACGCGTTCCCCGGCTGAATTATCGAGTTTTCGAGAGTTACATTTCCGATGCGCGCGAGTGCGCGGAGGCGTAACTGTGCAGCTCGCCCGCGGCTGTTCGCCGCTGCTACGCTGCTCTCTCGTTATCTCGCGCACGCGTTAACCGAGCCGCGAATCCGCGCCGGAAAATTGTCCAGAATTCATGCGACTCGCGCGCGCGCGCGCGCGCGCTCGGGATACGCCCTGGACAGTCTAATCTTCACAAAGTGAATGCATCCACCCCGGTGGCGCGGCGCCCCGCAAGACGAAATCTGGATAGTGGAAGCCGCGATCTCTCCTCGCGTAATTCGCCGCTCGTCGCGCGTCTTGTAAAAACAACGCCATGTGCCGCGTAATTAAGCGACGCGCTCGCGCGCGGTGTCGACGTTGATCTAATAAAAATGGGAATTTAATATCTCGCTCATCATTCTCGAGTTTACCGCCGTCAATACAGCCGCCGACTCTGTCGCGGTGCCGTTCGCAGCGAATCGATCGATAACGCCGCTACGTTTATAAATAAGTTTCCGAATAAGTCACGCGAATATGTGCCTGCGCGCGATAGACCAACGTCGCAAAAAGAAAAAAAAAAAAGAGAGGAAAATGGTCCGATTATCATATCATACCCTTTCATTTGTACGCGTCATCGTTCATTCGTGTCCTCAAATCGACCCAGCGTTTTTTCCTCCCCCGATGTCCTATTTTTCACTATGTTGAAATTGTCACATCACACGCAAACGCTACAATTCAGAAATACAGTACACGTGGGGACTGTGCCATTAGAGGCTGTAATCGCGGAAAAAAATTAACATTCGGCCGTCGATACGGCGAATATCTATTGCTTGCCGACGCAATTCAATATTTCATATCGAGCAGCTTTGCACGTGCAGCGGAGAAATGATCCACTTAGACTATTGTCACTTCCGCTTACTTCTGTTTTGCTTATCTGAGAGAGCAAACTATGCCTATGCCTATAAGCCAATTCGAATTTACAAATATTTCCCCTCCCTAACGCGACTATCTTTTCAGAATTGTTAAAAATATATACGTAAAAATTAGCTGAGACAGTATGATACAACGCACCCGAATCCACAATCACTGACCGAAAATCTAACCGTATTGTGTAAACGCGCGCGATGTTGAGAGCGCGGCAGCGCAATTAATACATTTCCCTTAAACGCTCGCTCACACTCGATTTACAAGTGGCAGCTCGGCCGCCACCCTCTACCGCCGCCGCTACCGCCGCGGTATCCACGTTATCTATAATTTATGACAATGCCGGCGAGAAAATTTTACGACTCGGTCTGCGCGTGGAATTTATTGCCAATTACTTGACTTCGTGCCCGGAAAGAATCGAGGGTCCTTCCTCGAGAATGTGTACGCACGTAAAAGGAGTCTCTCGCCCTCCTTCCCGGCATATTTCCCCGTCGCACCTACACCGCGCGCCGCGGATGGACGCGCGAAAAATTCACCCCCTCGTTCCGTATAAATTCTCATATCTCGGCCGATTACCGTCGATAACGGTGCTTGAATTTAAGGGTGCAACCACGCCGGCCACGACGAGCGTTCTTACGCCGCTACGCCCGCCGACATATTCCGGTCACACCGCGAGTCGTTCCGTGAGAATGAGGGAACGATTATCGAGGGAAGGCCAAGAGTGAGAGACAGAGAAAGAGAGAGAGAGAAAGAGAGAGAGAGAGAGAGAGAGAGAGAGGGAGGAAGAGAGACGAGAATAACGTCCAACGTCGTTAATCTCTCACGGGGAAGCCGCGTGGAAAATAATTTTTTCTCCTCCTATCAAATCGCATCAAACTCGCGGGAGAAGCGACTCTCTTCCTCCTGCGCGGGCGTACGTTGTTCACGGAATTCGTTAATGACGATCCGCCGCGGTGACAAGCGAGTGACAAAACTCGAATTTGTCGAATTTGATTTCCCAACTCGGAGTCACCGACCGACCGTGCGACCGATGCA